TGGCACCTTAGGGCAAAGATGTCTAACACATTTTTATATTGGACCACATCAAGGTCATGAATGTGCTGAAAGGGCTGGTTGTGGCATGAAATATTGACCTTTTAACAAACAGATATTTTAAATATTTAACCATTCACACCAAAGTAATTTGGCACAATACAAATAAATAGTTTAACTTATAAAATAATATTTAAGCACACAACTGTGATTCTATTTTTGTGGCCCTCTGAGATTTGGAGGGCTCCAGAAATAGGTATGCCTAAAGTTTGACACATGCCTTAGGGCTTTTTGGAAATTTTTATCTAGAAATGAGCCAGACATCCGTGCTTGGTTAGAATTACTAGACAGTTGTCTGTCTGTTACCTAAACTAGACAGTTTCCCATTTTGTTACTCAAGAAAATTGTTTGTTTAAGATGGACCTTATATTATTTCCACATATGTAGTTACCTCAAAAATGTTCAATTAACACTACAAAGCCACAACATCATCATCTGGGGCCTCATGCATAAAAGAATGCACAGTTTTCACACTAAATCTTGGAGTACGGAAAAATGTAGAAAAGTGGGGCGCACAAAAAAAAAAATCCGGATGTATAAAACCGTGCGCACGCACGTGGCCGCGCACCTTTCCTTTCTAAATCCTAATTTGCGGGAAATAGAGCAGCTGCTGGTCGCCACCCACAAATACACATTAATGTAAATTAGTATAAATACCCGGAAGTCACTCGGAACCACTTGAAGCAGTAACCATGGCAACGTCCTTGTTTGTAGCAGTATAAGTATTTATAAAATAATAATTCTATATTTTATGTAAAATGTGCTTTTAGGGCACAAAGTCACCTCACACAAACAAAAATACATTTTAAAGGAAAAAAAAAATCTAAATTAAATAAATAAATAAAGAGATCGTGCAAATGCCTGTTAGAACAGTAGCACCTCCAGCTCCGATTTAAAGACAAACAGCGTGTCAGAGAGTCCTTTGAGTGGGATCAGACTGGTTGTCCAAGATGGCCTGCACCTTGGACAGGAAACGGAGGAGCTTAGGGATGGAAGTGGGGGAAAGGACAGATTAGATGGAAATGTAGGACGAAATCCTGGAGCAATTGGCTGAGCTGGATTCACTGTGCTTGAAGGTTTTGAAGAGAAGCTGGAGCCAAAATGGACTGAGAGGCACATAGTAGAAGGAATGAAGGGATGTATGTGCACAGGGATTTTGTGAAGCCTGCGAGGACAGGGATTAAATAACGGTGGATAAGAACTGGGAAACAGCCATCGATGGAATAATATTACCGGAAATGTTGGAGGAATTGTCAATGGTCACAGGATTGGGATATTGTTGGAGGCGAGTGATGAACTGTAGGTGATGTAGTGTGAGACTGAGTTTGAGGATCAAATATCACGGAGCACAGGCTTTTGCAACCTGAAGCAACAGAAGGAGGGGAATTTTCGACAGTGGATGGAGTGTATTAGAGATCATCCGAGTCAGAAGGGTTGAGCTGGATTGTTAAGGCGTTTTCCATGGTGAGTATAATTGCCAAAGCAATCGTCACAAGTCTGATAATGAACGTAACAACGTTGATGGAATGTAACAGACTGAAAAGAATGGGTGAGCAGATTATAAATAGGCTGTTTGGAAAAAATTGAGGTGTGGTTTGGGCGTGGCCCTGCTCCCGAACTTAAGTTAACATATTAACATCATAAAATGCAACATGTTCCATAATGTTTGCTTTGAGCCTGTAGAAAGCCCGATGTCAATAATTATTTTATTTTTGTGTTATAGTTGCTATCTACAGTAAGTCAGGCTGATTACGCTTTTTACCGTCATATTATGCTCAGCAGTAATTTATTGATTTTAGTGTTCTATTGTTTATATTCCTATAAACAATAAAAGTTTTGCAATTCACCCAGAGAAACTGAAAAATATTCCTGCAGACATGGATGCCTCCAGTCATAGAATCATAGTCCTGGTGTTGTTTTCTTTTCACTGGTATCTTTCTGGTTGATCTTGTCATCTCCAAAGTACTTTTTAATTTTTCCAACAGTCCGTTATAGCATGGGTTGAGTTATGTGATGGGGATGTAAATGAGCCATGTGTTTACTTCAAACTTTCAGCTAATTGGCCGAGACCAAAGAAAAGCATGTGAATAACCAACAAAGCTTGGTATGATAATCAGCTGTAAGTTAACACTACATCTTCTTAAATGGCTCAGATTTACTCTGTAAGCAAGTTAAATTCAAAGACATAGTTTACCCTTTTAAACTCTGAAACTGCTAAGTTTTAAAATCACTGTGAGTTACAATATTTAGTTGAGGTTTTATTTTTTATTATTACTGTGCAGACATTTAAAAATATAAAAGGTCAGATTCAGCTATTGCTGTTTAAAATTGCATAGGCTACTCTGACTTAAAGTTTTGGTTTGGTCCATATTTCCTTCTCCCTTAGTTACATCCTACATGTGTAGTGGTATGAGACATCACTGTATTGTTTGGTACAATACCTGTCAACTCTCCCATTTTAGCCAGAAAGCTGCAGTTTTGTACCCGCCTTTCCCAATGTGCTCCCGTATGAGCATCCTGAACAGGTACATGTACCAAATGTGCATTTCTGGATATTTTCAGAATAAACACACTGCTCCAGAACCCCTAATTATGAGATTTGGTTAATTTGTGTAAGTAATTTAAACTACCCTTTGGCAGCTTTTGTGCTTTTTTTTTAAAACATAATCAGACAAATGAATATTTAACACCAGTTTAAAACATCTTGTTTTAAACAAGATGTTTAAAACAAGATGTTTTAAACATCTTGTTTAAAACATCAGCCAATTGATCGGCTGATTTCCGTGAAAAAGCGTTTGATCGGTGATCGTCCATCACTGTCTCTTGTTGCCGATCAGAAAAAACGATCACCTGCATCTCATTTTTCGCAACCTGCAGAGGCCCCATGTGCAACGCATCACCAACTTTCCTTCAAACTGCGCAATGGCACAATGTCGTGTGGAACTTTACCGTTGTGACAGAAAAATACCTCGGAGGTGCAGGGCATCAAAATGCGTCAGTACAATGAATTTAATATGACATTTAAAAAACAAGGGTTGACGGAGTACGGTGATTTATCGAGGCTAACTGCAGGTAAAAGACATCTGGAGCGATCAGACAGCAGGTGTAGCAGCGCACAACTACCAACACTCACCCAGATGAGCATGATGGTCAGAAACTAAATACCTAGCTAAATAACCTGAAAAATAATTAAAATCATCGGGCTAGCGGTGAAAGCTGCCGGGTTCTGCTCTCTCTGTTGGACCGCAGCCACGCAATTCTGAGACGTTCATATTTCACGTTCAACCTCCACCAGACAGTGGACTCTCACATTAAACGTTTACTTAAAGCTGCAGCATGTAACAAAAAAAAAAAAAGAAACAAACAAGAAAAAAAACTTTTTATATGTGTATTAAGACTTTTGCTGTCCTAACATGAGACAGATAAGCTCTGAAAAAATATCGAGCTCCTCTGCCCCCTCCCTCTGTTCTGCAGAATTACACCACTCAGTCAGAAACAACCAATCACAACCAGCAGAAAACAGCTGGCCATGCTCTCCGGAAGTTTTGAAATTTCAACATTCAGATGTTAGCATATCTTAGAAAAGAAACCATACTGAATATGTTATTGTTTTTTCTTATGTCTGTATATTCTGACCTTTCTTATAATATTCATATATATATTTTTCACTTCTTTTTCATACATCAAGAGAAAAAGTCAGACATGGTACTGACTTACAACTGAATGTTTAGTTGTAAGTCATAAAGAATGAGAAGTCCAAAGGAGGGTGAAGCTAAATAAAACAATTCACCAAAAAAATGAAACAGGGAAGTAAAGATGGCTCAGATAGAAAGTACAATTTTCCAACAACAGCATAGAAGTTCATGAGTTGTTTCCCCCACAGAGCTTATTAAAGTACAAACACAAGAGCACGCAGTCTGCTCACAGTGTTGATCATTGCAGCAAAGTCCCAGTTAGGATCAATTACATGGACAGAAAAATAGCAGGCGCAGCAAGGCCATTAGTCAAAATCTGACCTCATTAGATGCTGTACCTGCGAGGGGTCAAGTGGCCCTTAACGCCTCCACAGTTGTCTTCTGTTCTTGATCAGTGTAGCAAATGTCCATTGTGACAGATAGTCTTGTTTTTACATGGATGAAGGGCCCAGTCCACTGTGAGGTGTTGCTCCATGTGTGTTTGCCCCACTTCTTACTCTTGACTTAGACAGATGGTGATTGCAGCAGACAAGGTCTCAGAAGAGTTGAGAGAAGTGGATGCAGAGAAGACAGATCAGGCTCAGAAGGACTGCTGAACTGCACTGAATAAGCTTCAAGGATTACATCCAAAAACAATTTTAAAAATAGTCTTTAATCTGTGATATGTGTGAAGTTTAACAAACACATTGTGATTTAGTTATGTTGTTCCAATTCTTAAGAGTTATGATTTGAATCATAAATGCTTTTTATCAGCCACATTTAACATATAGCCTCTTTGAGAGCATGCAGCTTAGTCAGTTGATCCTTTAGTGATGGAAAAACAACCTTCATGAGACAAAAACAATATATATTTGAGGGATGAGCCCCTTCATTTTGTGAATGATTAGCATCTGGAGTCATAATCCAGAATGAGATTTATTAACTGTCAACAGGACAACACAGGCTGTTTTAAATAAAAAATGCTTACAGTACAATATTTCCTGAGTGAAGCAATAAATAACTACAAAATGCTTCTCTGCACTCACTAGCCATTTTGTTAGAGACAACTATGTGTGTTAACACAAATGCTGTATCACAACTCTGCAACTACTCAATCTATTTCGACATCTGGAAGAAATGAAGGATAACTGAAGAAGGATGTATTAAGAATTTACCAAAGGAAAATAAAATATTGTTGACACATATCTACATTTCTTCAAAGACTTGTCATAGATGTGTAGCAGTCAGTGTTAGTGTTTCTGAAGAAACCTCTGACTGAAGACATGGCCTTATGTAATAGTGTCATGAAGAGGATGCTCAGTGTTCCTAATGTACTTCATATTTGTAACACCTTCAGAAGTTCTAAAGCAGTTCCAAGAACAGAACCACTTGTCTTTATCTTTTACTACTTCAGCTTTTTTAGGTCTTTGGATCTTATGTTGCTACCCCACCAAATGATCGTGGAAGAGAATGCACTTTGCAGCATACTGAAGGATCTTCAGATGAGCTAGCAGATGATTGAAACACTGGAAGTGTAGCAGAGTGAGGCATGATTATAATCAAAGGAAACGCAGACTAACCCGGGAGGAAGCGGGTCAGCAGGTGAGGACCAGATGGAAGCCGCCCACCACAGGAACCCCCAGCTGCAGCCGGCAACGCCATCAGAGCAACACTGCAGAAACGCATGATAGGTGTAGCACCCAAAAACCAACCATGATCCCAGCCATGGATAGCAGAACTGACACTTACGATCGCAGACGAGTCGACCAAACACACAAGCCAACATTTAGCCGTCGACTGTAGCAACAGTGGGAGAAACAAAGACACACGCACCTTCTTCTTCTTCTTCTTCTTTTTGTTTTTAACGGCGGTTGGCAAGCAACTTAATGGTGTGCATTACCGCCACCTACTGGTATGGAGTGTGGATCAGAACGCAACTAAAAAAAAACCCTAAATCCTTTCTGTCAGTTTAGTTTTCTTAAGAAATTTTATTAAATAACATAAATATTCAGAGGAAGAGGAATATCTCAAAATATCTGGTATTTTTAACTGTAACTTATTCTTTAGAAGTCTATATTCTAATTTCCTTCTCTCCTTTGGACATAACAATAAAACATGTTCTACTGTCTCTTCTTGAAAACAAAGATCACAATTACCTGTTGGATGTTTCCCCATTTTAAACAGTGTACTGTTTAAACCTGTATGACCAAAACATAATCTGGATATAATGTTTTTTTATTTTCTACTTCTTCCTGTTCCCCTCATTTCACCAACTTTCCTTTGAATACTATAAAGCCATCTACCAGTTCTATCTTCTTCCCACTGCTTCTGCCATCTGTCCTTAACCTTTTGTTTTATAATAGATTTTATTTCTTCTTTACTAAAAGGAATCAGTATCTCAATGCAACTGTTTTTTGAAGCTTGTTTTGCATATTTGTCTGCCAACTCATTTCCTTTTATTCCTATATGCGATTAATCCCATGGCCTGAATTCTATAAAGTATTAACTGAATCTCCAATAAAAGGTCTGGCCTACTATTAGACTGATTATGTTTAATTGAATATAACGATGAACTTGAATCAGAACAAATTAAACTTCTCAGAGGACGAACCTCTGCAATCCATCCTAACACACGCACCTTGCAGCGGCCTGCCCAACTATAAAGGCACCTGCCCCGCCCACCAATCAACGGTGGCTCCTAGCTGCACCTGGTGCACAGAGTGGGGGAGGGTGGAACACCATCCCACCACAATTCCAAAATGTATTATATATTATTATTATCTGGACCATCCAGCATCCATACACGTTGGAGCCAGAGTCTGACTCAGAATGAAGACGACAAACCTGCTGAACCACACATTCAAATTAATGTATCATTGGTGTTATTAGTGTATTTACACTCTCTCCCTCCATAATAACTACCTAAAATATGGAGCATAGTTTAGGTATGTCAGATGCCTATTAAAATATTAATGCTACAACAATAGACACTCCTAGACACTCAAAAGTACACAAAAATGTATTTAAGGGCTAAAAAAGTGGATTTTACATGTTATGTCACCTTTAAATCACATTCCTATGTAGAGAATATTGGGTAACACTTTATTTGAAGGGGGTTGAATAAGCCTGACATGACACTGTCATAAACATCAATAAGCCTTCATGAATATTTATGACTGTTGTCATAAAGCGTCATTCGGTAAATTATGACACTTTTAATACAAAGTTGACATTATTCAAAATGTCTTTGTTATTACAACTTGACATTAAACAAGAAATCATTACTGATATAAATTTGTTATAAAAGTATTAATGATTGCACTTTAAAAATGAGGTAACTTTATGTTATTAAAGGTAAAATTTAAACAGTAATGATTTCCTGGTTAATGTCAAGTTGTCATAACAAAGACATTTTGAATAATGTCAACTTTGTATTAAAAGTGTCATTATTTACCGAATGACGCTTTATGACAACAGTCATAAATATTCATGAAGGCTTATTGATGTTCATGACAGGTGTTATGTCATGTTTATGAAAGTGTCATGACAGTCTTATTCAACCCTCTTCAAATAAAGTGTTACCAAATATTGTTAATAAGGAATTTCCAGGCCATGCTAGGTTTATTGACAGCCAACACTGCAACTTTCATCATATTTGAAAATATGATGGGGAAAAAAATTAAGTAAAGAGAAAAACATAAAAACAAATAACAAATTTTAGGATTTCAGAAAAAGAAAAATGTTAGTGAAACAGTGAGAGTATGAATAAAAAGAAGAAAAAGAGGGTTTTAAATTTCTTGCAAAGTGCTTTTAGACATTTTAAATTGTGAAAGAAATGTGTCTTAATTTAATTGCCTCTAAATGCTTTCTGTACCTGTAACTTAAACCATATCCTTTTTCATGTTTCTTTTTGCTGTTGACAGAGAGCTGATCTGGCAGTGGCTCCCCTCGCCATCACATATGTGCGTGAGAAAGTTATTGACTTCTCCAAGCCCTTCATGACGCTGGGTATAAGTATACTGTTCCGCAAGCCCAACGGGACCAACCCTGGGGTCTTCTCCTTCCTCAACCCACTCTCACCTGATATCTGGATGTATATTCTGCTGGCTTACTTGGGTGTCAGTTGTGTGCTGTTTGTCATAGCCAGGTAACATGTCACTTTGAGTGGTTGTAGTTCCACACAGAGTCTACATGTCTAGTTTCCATCAATGATGCATTCCATCTGACTTTGAACATTTTTAATGATAGTCCTCCGTGACAGTGGTGAAATTAATCAAAGTTTAGGCTCAATAAACTTTAGGCTCAATATGATCACTCTTACATGTTTTCAATGTCAAACTGTGATGAGCCACTAAGATGGTCTCCATGTTCCACTCATATACATGTTTTACAGATGAAATGTCTTCTTCCAGATCACCGTAGGTTTTGGGATAGCTTGAAGTGTGTAATTCTTGTACTGGCACCAGTAAATAGAGGTGCCAACAATATTCAGGTAGCCACAGGTGCTGGGGTCCTGAGCAGAGATACTGCAGAACTCTCAACAATCTCAGGGTTTTATGTATGGAGTGAAAATAGTCTCAAAATATCTGTGCGTGTGTAAAAGGATTTTTGCGTCCGTAAAAAGATTTTTGCGTGTGTAATACTGGATTTGTAAACCTTAAAAATAAAATAAACCTTCTCCTACACCTATACATGTTGAAAAAGTACACACAAGTCACCTGGTACCAGTGACGTGCGGTCAGGGGAGGCAGGTGAGGCATCATGGAAAAATAATATATAATGATAAAACCATTTATATTGCTATTTTCACCCTGTGGTTTGTACTATAAAGTATCTATTTTTTACTTTGCTTAACCAATTCTGATTATTTTTGTCTTAAAAATCGCTGGATTTTCGCATTTTCCCATTCAAATGCTCAGAAGCGAAGCCGGTGAGGCAGCAGTGAGCTGAGCCTCACCTGGGATTGCGCAACCTCTCGCTAACTGCACTGGCTGCCATTCTATGACAGCATGTTCCTCCTGTCTGTACGCCAGCAATAAAATGGCTAAAAAACATTTAATATATGGTCTGATTTTCCATAATTTCGCTTATGTATATAATGTACAGTATTTTTTTTTGTCACCAACTGTGTGTGTATCGTGTTTTGTGTGCGGAGGAGCGATCAGAAACGGCAGAAAACAGACTCCAGGGGAGGCAGGCAGTTCTCTTGCCTCATGGCAGGGGGCGCTCATGATCCCAGATATTGTGACTGCACAACTGCAGAGTAAGACACAGTGAGCTAGCCATGGAATTAGCCATACAGTAAATAAGTAAAGTACAGCGATATATTTGTTTTCTCCTCTCTTCCGACGTAAACATGAAAGACTACATTTCTACACCTAAACAGTTTTCTAAAGTGGAATTTCAATTGAAGCAGGAGATAATAACTAAAGGAAGAGCAACACCGGTGCTGAAAGTTTTGCTTCGAGACAGTTTGATGATTCTCAAACGGAGTAGAAAAGACATGCTGAGAATAGACTTGGCTTTGGATGAACGGATATTTTTGTGCAGAATTAGCGGTGCATGGATTTCATTGATACATAAAGGTAAGACAGCAATAAGATGTTTTTTATAATGAAGTGTGCGTTTTGTGGGCAGTTTGTATGTCTAAATAATTCAGTAAAGTAGAAGCGGGAGCTAATCTACCACAGCAATTATTTATTAATTAAACATTAAGCCTAAAACATACTACAACAGACTAAATGTTCTGTTCTGTGTGCAAAATAAATTCTTGAATGTTTTTGGTGTTAAATCCTAAAACATGAAGTGGCATTGTTGTCAGTTGCTATGGCAACGAGTCTGCATAGCGTGGCGAATACAGATCACTTTGCTGTGGATCATAGCACAAAATCAATACCTACATTTCTAAGTTTCACTGAGTTAACGCGGCTATGGATGACATGTAAAAGGTTAGTCTTTTTGCCCTCCAGTGTTGTATGCCTGCGTGAAATTTCCGTACATCCAATACATGCATGGTGTCTAAGTCATAAGTCAGTGCCTCACCAGCAGTGAACCTCACCGCACGTCACTGCCTGGTACACACAAAACTCCATTTACACACAGATCCGGAAATGAGTGCGTAAGTATTTTTGAGACTCATTTCACGCTTCCGGGAAGCTCCCAGATTTGTGTAGATGGTGCGTTTACATGCTAGTAAAAGCTGGGACATCTGATTTTTGCTCGGAGTCTAGTGTTTTTATCCTCTGACGTTTCTCACTGTGCTTGTGCCGAAGTGGCAAATATGTTAGTTCGGTGGAAAACGGAATATCTCAGCACTTCCTTATAATATCCTAAAATTATGTACTGTACAGACATATTGTGCATTTTTGAGCGGTACAGGAGACTAAGTGGTCTGAAAAACGACCACTGGGTGGCGGAATGGTTCACTGGCCGGAAAAATAGCCAGGCAAACCCAGAAGCAAGACGGAGCGTCCCGGTGGTCTGTCCCATAGACATCAAGACGTAGACCCCTCATGGAGCGCTGAGTTGTACGTAACAGCAACCGCCATCCAGTGGCGCAACTGCACATTTTTCAGGTGGATGCGAAAACATAAAACCCCCCCCCCCCTCCCGAGGCGACGCTGCGTGGACTGTAAAACTCGCTACATGTACCTCGTTATGTACAGGTGAAGGAGCGTGAGGCGCGCTGAACTGTATGGGAAAACATAATCGGCGCGTCGCCCCCTCCAGACGGGGTTTTGGCGCCCCCTCTGGTGCTGCGCCCCTATGCGTTGCATATGCTGCATACCCACTTTTTGCGCCTCTGCCGCCATCTTCTATGTGGCAACAGAGGATCGGAGTTCCTTAAGTCCTGCGCTGTGTGTTTCAACCGTTTTACGAAACAAACTGGATTNGGAAAATGAATCGTAGCTGAACATAGACACCAGTAGCATACAAGCTACTTGTTAACAAGCTTGAGGTGCTGTATTGATATTAGCTAGCTAGTCATCTTTTAGCTAACTTTACCTGCATCCATCAGCTTTACTCAACAGTCTGTTAGTTTGGGGGGAAAAACTCTGCAAAGTTATTTGCATTTTGCTGCCAGCAAACCAGCAAAACGTATAGTTCTGCTGTGCAGAACTACACCTGAGTAGTATGTATGTATGTATGTATGTATGTATGTATGTATACATACATATATATAGATATATGTATATGTTTTTCAGCCGAGGATTTCTAGCTTCAGAGAGATTCAGCAGCTGAGATTGAGTCCAAAATCCGATGTGAGATTCATCCGTGCTGCAGTGAATCCGTCTCTCCTTAAATACATTTCTCCCTTCTTCCTCACATCGTGTCTTTAGGAAACCTTCAAAACAAAAACAGAAGATTTAGGATGTATCTTACTTTTGACAGAGTGAAAGAATATAAATAATAGTCTTTACCACCTGTGTAAACTTTGCTGGTGAATGTTATAACACATAATATAAGTTTTATGATATATGTTAAATTGTTTAATGTAGGCACTTGTGTCAGATAATCTAAGCCAATGTTGGAGAATAATAATTTTTTTTAGATTTACGGAATCTCAGTTAACCTTCATAGTGGGGCTGAACCCTGTATTACACCAAGCACTATAGCTAGCATTAGCTGGTATCTCACATGTGGACATAAATACAGTAAAGTAATATTCTAATCACAAAATATACACAATAATATGTCCATCTTACTTGTGAAATGTTGTCTGTGGAGCCCTCACATCAATAGTCATTGATCGGAGCAACAATATCCCTCAGTGCTGAGGCATCTTCTGCTGTTTTGATTGAGCAAAGTAGGAAGGTATACCGCTCCAAGATGGCCGCCGTATTTCCTGCGCCGGAGCAGCCAATGCGGGGTCTACTCTTATTTTATGTCTATGGTCGTAGCACTCATGTTGCGTTTAAAGGCGACTCAACAAAACAGGTTACCACATGTTAACAACTGATTAAACAGTTTTAACTGCTGATAAAAGTGACAGAGGACACAGATATGAGAAGTGCAGAAGCCTCTACTGTATCAAATTGACAGAGGAATAACAGAGAGTTGGCCATTCTAAGGTAAAATCCCAGTGCATACAGCGTTCATGTTTTTTTTTTTTTTTTTTTTTTCATCCAGATGGCTTCCCGCGCCCCTCCCCTGCAATGGCATGGCGCCCTCCCTAAGGGGCGCGTCCCACAGTTTGGGAACCTCTGCTTTAAGTGATATATCACTCCATTCCACTTCGTTTAGCATCACTTCATCTGAGTTAATTGGTTCATGAGGAGCACTAATTAAGGGGAATGGCCTTGTTTATTGTCATGGCGACGCTTATTAGGCAGACATTTCTTTTTCCATTTTTGGGAACTCGTGACATTAATGCACCCTTCACAAATTGCAGGCGGAGTAATGGATCAGCGTATCAGCTGCATCAAACATACACACACGTACACACAGCTCGACAATCCAACACAGACTGGTAACATTCAGGAACGGACGTGACCTACCTCTCTACGCCGGGAAGCCCAGCAGGTCTGTTTGATTTTCCAAACCACAGCAGCAACCAGCAGCAACGACAGGAAACAGCTGGAGAGAGGAGAGTGGTGCAATTAGTTAAATCATTGTTGATTGTTATAGTTACTCAGATTATTTATGTGAAAATAATACAAATTAAAACTTCTTTTGCAACGTAGAATCGGTTCGTAAGGATGTATCCCATGATGAACTTTATGAAGGACAAAATAAAAATCTTCAGAAAATGTTTTAGCTCAAGAATATCTGAAATTCACAAAAATATTTTTGTAAAATTAACTAAAAGGTTGTACACTATTGAAAAGGAACATTTAGTGACTTAGAGTATAACTTTCATCAGAGAAGCACTTCAAAGACAAATAAATTGTACCCAACCTTATACTCATAACTGCGGACGCATGAGAGTCCAAGTCAAATAAATCGTTGTGTCAAAATTAAATGTCACATGTAAATTAAAAATTAGACCAAATGTTAAAGAAATTAACAGCAAAAGGAGGATTAATTACCCAAAAGAGATCAAATGCTTCATTATTACAACCGTGACAAAATGTTTGGGCTGTGACATTGTGTTTCGCAAACTCTTGTATTCATTTTTTCAGATTTTTATACAGAGTTGTGAGATGT